TCTCAGTTGATGCATGACATCACCACAAATGCCAACTCAAAAATGTCTCCCTAGCAATGCTTTAAGGCTATCTCCACATGACACAGTTTTCCTCATCCTCAAATTTCTGCAAAACAGCTTGTCAGACCCCTATAAAAACGGGGTGCCTTACAGAGTTAGCAGATGGCTATCACATTCTGATAGCTCAAGCAGTGAATTCAGCCAACTATCTATCAAAGTGACCTCTTCGTCTCAGTCCCAGCTCCAGCTCAGAGGGGGGGGGGGAATCTTTTTCTCACCAGCAGGGAAATTTACTAATCACTATACAGTACTTTACTTGGCCACCTCATTAACAAGACTAACTCTAACCCTTCGCATTGGCATACTTTGTGCCTCTACATGGACTAGACTGTGCAGTGTTTTGCAATCTTGGCAACTTTACGATGTGTGGACTTCAACTCCCAAAGTTCTCCAGCTAGCAACACTAGCTGGAGAATTCTGGGACTTGAAGTCCACACATCGTAAAGTTGCCAAGATTGAGAAACACTGGTAGAGGGAAGCATATTAAATGGGCAAGGAGTAAGGTCAAAGGACTTAGTAACCTAAGCAAAAAGAAAGGGGAACCACAAATAGGAAAGAAAAGTCTTTTACCAAAATAAGTTAAAAAATCATAAAGCCACTTTATTATTTAGCTAGGTTTGCATAAGGTGCTTATCCATGGTTGGTAGTTTTATTATAAAAATCTGTATGCTCTCTGATTTAGCAGACTCTGGGTTGGGTACAATATTAAAACAATAAAAACAATATTTCTAGCACAACCCCCATTGTCTATTGTACACAATTAAAATTCTTGCTACCCAGGAAAGGATAGTTTTCACTACTTTTCTGAAGGATAACAAGGAAAGGACTAATTAGACTTGAGGGAGGGAGACTTAAACTCACAGGGAAGGGGGGGTGCTACAATAAAGATCAGCCTCCAACCTGACATGGCCCCTAATCTTTCAAGGGGCCAGGATCCACAGCTTCCTTTTCCAGTGAGATCATGTAGGGTGGTGTTGTGGAATGCATTCCCTCCCTTCTGGGACTATGTACTATATTTCACCATAGGTGGGGATGTTTCTACCTCAAGATGACATTTATTGATTTTACCTGACTTGTATGGCCATCCATCTTAGAGCACAATTCTAGGCAGATGACCTATCCCCAACAGTAAAGACTATAAAACTAAAGACAAAAACCCAGTACTTCAGCCATCCACCTGGGATATTCCCAACAAATCATCCATAGGCAGATTCTCTTCTCATTCTACCCCATTGCCTGGGGAAGAGCCAGCTCTAGATGGCCTTCTAGAAGGCTAAACATTTGGAGGCCTACCACATTGCCTAGGAAAAGATGCTCCACAGATCAGGGATCCCTGAAGCCTCCATTCTGAAGGTAGCAGAGACTCAAGCCATATATAGCGTGATTCTTTGAAACTGGAGCTAGAACCATATGGAACTAGTGTAACTCCCACAAAATGGGAGTTCTGTTCTTACTCAGCTGAGCCAGTTACTGTGTAATTTATTCTACTGAATGATCTAGGTTTGTATATGCCATAAACTAACCAATCATAACCTTAATCATAATATAACCATAACCTTAAACCCAAATTAATTATGAAGACTTGATTTCCACAACACACTAAGCTAAAAAGTAGTTAACCAGTTCATTTGCATAAGCACAGCCTCCACTTCTAAGAAAAAAGCAGTACAAAACCACACAAGACAACCGAAAGCTTCCCTAAATAGCTCTTTATTCCGATTACTTCCAACTGTGGACTATACTATTATCAGACAATTTTTCTAGCAGCAGATGATAAGAATTATAGCATCTTATCAGGCTAACACGTTTTATTACAAGGCATCAGCTTTTGTGAAGAATGATATTAAGACCAAATGCATTCATTAAATCTTATTTAAATGCTTCCTAAAAGAAAAAGATATTGGGACAAAGCTATACTGAACATTGTAGTTAGATTAGTTAATAATTAATTAAAAGCGCACAAATGAACACATAGATATAATTTATAGACAAAATACAGTTTTCCTCAATCTAATTTCCCAGACAGTAAAGCTGACATTTATCTCATGTTATGCCATTAGGCAGGTCTAATCCAGCCAAGGATTAGGTTGATGATGTTGGAATTTAATTATCAGATGCATCTGTTTTTGTTTTTGTTTCTTTGGGGGTCTTATATTGATTGTGTATGCGATATCCTGAATTGTAAAAAAATAGCATAACAATATATTACATAATACATTTTGTTTGGGGTAAAGAGACAAAGGCTATAGCTCAGTAATGGCACATATGCTTCCTTTCAAAGGTCCCAGGCACCTTCTCTGGTAACTTCAGACTCTGCCTGAAATTCTAGAGAAGCAGTTGGTGTGCTGAGTGAGAGGGTCCTACTAAAATCAGCAATCATCTAGATGTGAACATAAATATATCATTTCTTCATTCAAAACTGCATGATATCGCAACTGACATTTTCTGAGGGAAGAGTTGGACTAAAGCTCATAAATCTCACTCACTGAGATGGGTCACATGATAATGAAACATACATTTCAGGAGGGAGGCAGTTTTCATTGGTGTCTCAGTGAAAGATCTAATTGAGCAAGCTGAACTGGAAATTATGGATTATTCAATTTACCCCATTTTTTAAAAAATTCATGTGGCATCCTGAATTAGAAGCCAACCAACCATCAGGCATGGGGTTGCATTCATGCTAGGCTAAAATAAGTTTGTTTAAGTAAAGGCTCAGTATATGATACGAATCCAACATTGAACATTAGAAGTTAAAATTTAACTAGATAAGAAGGAACCGCTGTATAAATGGGATGCAGGTGGACTCTTCTTTTTAATATACTAACCACCTCCAAACTGGGAAGCCCCACCCAGGCCCTTTCAGAAGGCCAAGAGGATGGGGGTAGATCACTCCTCAAGCAGCACCCCGTTCCAGGGGGTGGGAACCACAGCAGAAAAGGCTCTTCTCTTGAACCCCGCTGGCTAAAATTCCTTGGCTGACTGGATCTGCAGCATGCCCCTTTTTCCATAGCAAGTGGGGCAAGCCAATCCCATCGGAGTAAAGGTAATAACCAAAATCTTGAATTGGACTGAGAAGCAAACTGGCAACCAGTGCGGCTTGCACAACAATGGTGTTACATGGACCATCCTAGGGGCCCCTAGAAATGTCTGCATTGCTGCGTTCTGTGCCAGCTGTAGCTGCAGAATACTCTGAAAGGGTAGCCTCAGGTAGCTCCATATTGCCACATTAGATGGTAATCCCAAGTAGACTGACTATCCCACTGAACTAAATGGTACATATTTTCAAGTAAACATTTTCATCTCAGATAGGTTTTAGATCTACTGTAAAGGCTGGTTTCCAATGCACTGCTCCATACAATTATTTCATGGTACATCTAAAAGAGATGGGGGACCCAATGGGGGTGGTGGTCACTAGACCGATAGCAAACCTCACTTCCCTCCTGTGCTCCTTGCTTTCCCCCTGCTCATTTTTCATCTCATATTACCGTACCTTCATTATTTATTCCATTGTTTATCATTTCATTACTTTGCTATTGTTACATTTACTCTTCTTTTCATTTCTCCATGTTCACTGTTGTAAGTTGTCCAAAGTAGCCCCTTGGCAAGATGGGCAGTAAATAAATTTAATAAATAAAATAAACATTGCCATTCTATAATCATGGGTTCATGCTTTATCTCTTTTTCACATTTCCTTGAAGGTAGTGCCATGTCTTGGGAGTTGTATTCATATTTCTTTGTGATTTGTTCCCTGCTGGTCTTTGGGTTTTTTTTTGGGGGGGGGGGATGGCCTTTACACCACCAGACTTGGTTCCCCTTCAGAATACCCAAGCCTCAAAAGAGAACTACAGGTATTTTACTTTTGCACTGGAATTCCAGAATTTAACATTACCAAGATGCTATTTTGGAACTGATGCTACATCTCACCTTTGCCTAGCCTATAATTTACCGACTTGGGGAACTTTTTCTGGGTCTATTTGCATGCACAGGAGAGAGTTCAGCAACTATGTATTCTGCATTTAAAAAAAACTTCACTGTTTTTTTGACAAGTATTCTGGAGAAGGGAAACAAGAGATATGAAAGATTTAGGGAACAGTGTCTGAACTATTCCTTTTTTAAAAGACAGCTCCTTTATGTAATCTTAACTAAACTCATGAATCCTACATAGTGAGTTTAAGGGCAAACAACAGCATCCTTTATCAACAGTAGGTTGCTGATATTACAATGGACATATTTCAGTGTTACAAAATTCAGGAATAGAACATGATAGGATGTTTGAACAATAAATGCCAGTGACTCACTTCACAACATGTTGTGACCCACAATGTCATGGCCTACTTGAGAATACATTCCCCTCAATTTACAGGGAGGAAATAAGAACAAACCTTGTATTATTTTTTTTACAACTTCTATTGTATTTGGGGATAGCGTACAATTTAGTGGGGAGAAAGACTGAGATATGAGGGTCAGCGATGACATCCCAACTATGACTGATATGCCTGCATGGGCATAGTATTCTGGATGTCCTTGCAAGAAAATAACTAGTAGAAATGAGAGGTTCGTGCAGCAACTCCATAACTGTATGAAACGGGGAAAACAACGACATTCTGTTCAAAAAGGCTCCTTCCTGTCTTGGCACAGCCGGACTAGCGGGCCTCTCTTCCCGTCTTGCGGCTGGCATTTCATTTTGTTAATGAGACGAACCAAGGTAATTCCAGGCAGGCGCCTGAGAACCGATGACGGGAAGCTTCCGGTGTTAATAGTCTCTTCAAACTTTTCCTCTGCTTTAATTGATAAGCTGTTCCTCGAAGCATTTCTCCGCCGCCTTTCCAACAGGGCTTTTTTTTTTTAAAAAAAAAAAATTGTTCCAAGGTGAACTTGGGATGATAACTGAAAGAAACTGAGGGGGCAAGGAACCGGGGGTGAGGGGGGGGGAGCGCGAAACCACCGCCGCCGGGCTGGCAGCTGAGCAGGCAGCCTCCTTTCGTGGCTGCCCCCATTGGCTGGAGGACGGAGCCGCCACCGCCAACGTCAAGGCGGCGCCCAGCTCCTCGCAAAGCTACTGCAGTGAGCGGAGATGCCGCCACCGCTGCTGCTGCTCCTGGGGTTGCCTCTTGCACTTGTAGCAGCGACGCCCGCCGCTCGATCAGAGCTAGTTGCTGCTGCGCGGGGAAGCCCGCGCGCGCCTTTTCTCCCCCCGGCTTGGCGGCTGCAGTGCTCCGCAAAGGACCGCCACTAGCGCGGCTCTCCTCAACCTGGTGGTGTTCCTGGCAAAAGTGGTGGATGGGGAGAGGGGCGAAATGGCTGCCTCCCTCCCCGGCCGGGGAGCAGTAGGCACCGCCACCCTTCTGGGGACAGCAGCGGAAGGAAAGTCAATGCGGCAGCCTCCTCAGTGAGGGAGCAGCGCCGTGGCGGGAGGAGCGAACGACTGACCCGCGTGTCCCACTGCCGACTCCAGCTCGGCGGGCGAAGGTGCCAGCTGGGAAGCCGCCGGCCCCCCCCCCTCCTCCTTCCCCCTCCCCAACCCCGGATGCCCGTTGCCACTACGCCTGAAGCATGGGAGCGCTCACCAGCCGGCAGAATGCCGGAGTGGAAGAGGTGGATGTCCCATCCAATTCCCTCTACAGATATCCCCCGAAATCCGGTAAGGCGGAGCGAGCGCGGGGGGCATGCGGGAGGTTTGAGGGGAGTCCGCATGGCAGGGCTGCGCGCGCTCCAACTCCGGGCGAGCGAAGCGCGAGCGGCGGCTGCAACCCTAGGCTAGGCTAGGCGAGCGGCGGGACCCTTGCTGTAATCCCCCTCATGCGCCCTTTTCGCCGCCGTCCCGTCGTTCTGTGCCAGTGGGGCTGCTCCCGTGACGGTGTTTTCCGTGGCTGCCGAGGAGTTTCCCGAGAGTTTTGAGGGCCAGGAGAATGACCCTCCCTGCACGTCGCCTATTGCAAAGCTCTGGTTGCTGGGAGAGTGGTTTTTTTTTGTTTGTTTTGTTTTACGCCTCCTCTTTTTCCTGCGCGGGGATTGCGGCGGCAGCGGCTGGATTGAAATAGTGACATTCATGGCATCGCGCTTATTGCTAAAGCTGCTTTTCGTTCGGGCAGCCTCTCTTTGGGAATTCTTGCTTGAAAAGAACAGGATTCTCGCGCGGCCCTAAATTGAGATCCTCCTCTCTCCCCCCCCCCCATTAAGAGGCCTCCTGGCAAATTCTTGTCTGTCCTGTGCCACTTGGCATGCCTGCCTATATAGTTGCATACTCTTGTTAGTGCGCTGATTGCATTCTAAAATACCCCATCAGTCTTTTGATGTAACATTTAACCATCCCCGCTGCTAATGAGATGAGCTCTGGTATTGATGGGAGGGGGAATTTAATTTCTAAAACAACAAATGCTGTATTGGATGCAGGCAAGACTGTCAATATCCTTCTCTCTTTAATCCATCATCAACTGCTGATAGATAGTTTCATAGGCATATATTCTTCCAAAGGTGGAGCTTTTCTTCTTTTACTATTGTAGTAATAGTACTAATAGTAGTTTAAGAAAGCAAACCTTAATAAAGGTAATTGAAATGGAATAAAGATCTTGCATACCTGTTGTGCGTATCTAACATACTTTTGTGCCTGCAACAATTAGCTGGGTTAAGGCAGAAGGATCTTTTCTGACCATTTACTGGTCAGTTAACCTTGGAAAAAGCACTTTTTGTTAAATTATCAGCCTATTGAAAAAATATTGGGGAGCAGATGCAAAGAGATGTGCAGCTGATATTATATGTGTATCCTGCAATGATGTATGACATCCCTGTTTTCTTTAGCCTCTGGTCATCCTGGAAATTCATAGCAGAAGGGCCAATGGAAGCAAATGGGGAAAAAGTATCTACAGTATGCTAGCCTTGTAACATTGACATAGCTGACAGGAATAGTTCTATATGCCACAATACAGAATATGAATTCTGTATTGTGTATTCCAAATTCATGGTTAATAGGACCAATCTTCTGTTCACTTAGTTCGTATATTTCTGTTTTGCTTGATTACCTGGGAACAGTTTCAGTTTTAATAAAATATAAAATAAAGTTTTCAGTTGACTTGCTGTGAAACTACAGCTACTTTAGTGACGATAAACAATTTATAAAGAGATTCTCAGGAGCCATGTATTTTTCTATCTTTAGAACAATATCTAAAACCCTATTTCTGTTCATTATATTTAATTACATGTTTTGAAGACTATTTCCCATCAGGATAGCATAATTCAAAACAAAAGGGAACTGGCAGAACATTCAAACCTTTTGCGACTAATCCCAAAATCTCATCTTTTAAAATCAGGGTAGTTTCTTTTCTTAAGATAAAAAAGCAATTAAACAAGCATCTTTATCTATAGATAGATGTGGTAAGTCAATGAATGTTATTTATATTTATATGCTGCTCATCTTACTATCCATCTTACTGGATGGCTTACAATACAATACAATACAACACAACACAATACAATACAATACAATACAATACAATGTTGTTCGTCCATCGATTTCGATGAAGACCTTGACATCTTGTGGGTTATGGGCCATCAACGATGTGTCCGTAGGTGGCTAATAAGACCGATGTTAGCACGGAATGTTCTGCCACATACTGAACAAAGAAATGTAGACACTGTTACTTCAGCATTTGCAGCTCTGGCTTTGCGGAGTGCTCGCTTTTCTTGTGCCAAGATTGTCCTTCTTTGTTAATATGTCTGGCAACCCTGGTACACCAAGGTGCGCCATGTCAGTCGATCATGCGCCACAAGTTCCCAAGAGATGGTGTTAATATCCAGGGACTTAAGAGAGGCTTTCAACGTGTCTTTGTATCGCTTCTTTTGTCCCCCATGCTATCGCTTTCCTTGAGACAGCTCATCATAGAAGAGCTGTTTAGGGATGCGATGATCTGGCATCCTTACAACATTAACAGGAACTTAGATAAAAGTAGGAACCAATATGAGCGGTAAGAGGTAGAATTTTCTTACAGTGCTATATTGTATATGATATACTGTGTATACAAGATGGTAAGTCAATTTGAATTTAGTATGTAATTGTATCCATCTAATTTCTTTATATTAACATGAAGTAGGGTTGTTGGGAGTCAGAAAAGTCAAGATGCTGGCTCCACCTATAATTGAAAACAACTATCCTTTTTTTGATCTTCTATTGCAGAAGTCCCCGTCTTGTATGTTAACAGGGCTGAGCAGAGTAATATTTACTGGATGGATGGTTACCGTTTTCTTGCTTACTAGAGTAGTAACTTTTGTTCAGCTTAGATTATAGACTGACTCAATTTCAATTAATTTGAAAAATACTAAATAGGAGGATACTGCTCTTATTAAACATTCTGAAGCCTTTTGGCTAATGTTCATCAAAAGTATATTTATGTCACAGAATAACTTGGAACTCCCACGTACGTGAAAGTAAAATCCCGTATTTCCAAACTGTATTTATATAACTTTATAATTTTATTTATTTTATAATTTCAAATTGTATAGTCACCTATTCATGCATAGCTTTGCGTGACTAATGGGTTAAAAGCAAAATAATATTTAAAACAAGATTCCAACAGCCATGGCAAAGGGAAAAACAACCCTTGAACATACTCACTCTTATTGGTAGCTATCCCTAAGACATGGGTATCCAACCGTGGCAATCATGCTGGCTGAAGAATTCAGTCCACAAGTCTTAAAGTTGCCAAGGTTGGACACCCCTGCACTAACAGGTTCACCGGGTGCCTGTGTAAAGAGCCAGGTCTTCAGCCCTCTCTTGCAGCAGCCAAGAATGGGGCTGTGTGAATTTGAGGGGAGCATGTTGTTTCAAGGGAGGCAGAAGAATAGAGAACCTAGGCCCCATAAGATGTTGCTGCTTAATAGATGGGACCTATGGTATATCAACTTAGTCTGAGCTTACTGGATGAGCAGATACAATGGGAGATAGGCAATCCTGCAAATATCTAGGCTCTGTGTCATTTATAGATGATAACCAGGACCCAGAATTGTACTTACATTTATACTGATAATTAATATAACTTGCATAGTTGCACAAGGGGCATACTGTTGCATTCTGGACCAGTTGTATCTCTTGAATGGACCTCAAGAGCAGCCCTATGTATTGTGGTATTGTAGCTGATATAAAATATAACTGATTGTGAATAGGGTCTCTCAATGTAGGAAATCTAATGGGGTGAATCTGTGCAAAGACATCCTCTTTCCTCAAGCAGAAGTTGTGAGTGCAAAAAATCCCCCCACCCCACAATTGCACACTGGAACTGTCTAGGAAAATGCAACCTCATTCAAAGCTTGTTGGTAGGTCTCCAGAACAGGTTGGTCCATGTACCTGTAGCCACTTAGTCTTCCCATGATATATATGCTGGTCATTGAAGATAAGGTGAAGTTCTGGTTAAGCAGATTGGAAATTAAAGGAAAAGGAAAAAAAGCCTGTAATGATGTCTCTGTTCCCCAAATTACTTACTAATTGCTCCCAAAGAACATTGCAAAGTCAATGCTAACGTGAATTCAATTTTTGTACTGAAAATATGTGCTTGCCTTTTCAGCAGGCAGAGCAGCTGGAATCAGTTTGTAGTATCTGCTTGGCTGTTAGCATTTAGCAACTTCTCTTCCACCAATTGGGATAGAAGGTGCTTTCTGAGGGACTATAATCTTAAACAGATGATGCCTGCATTTCTTAAAAAGAAAAAAAAATCTTCAGTATCACACTCAAAAGAAGGCTTTCCATGCTGAAGTAACATAGCAAACAAATGCCCTTGATGGGCTTAATAGTACCTGTAGGAGTGGCCTTTTGAATCTCTCTACCCTTGCATTTTTCTGTGATTTTTTTTTATAATGAAACATTTGTTATAGGAGCTACAGCCTGAAAGATGCAGGGCTGTTTCATTCATGCATTGTGTATTTATTTAATGCAACTGTGGGGATGATTGGTGAATTGAGAATTTTACCTTTGTTTTGTTTTTTGAACTTTGTTTTTAACTATAACTCTTATGGCTGTATGGCTTTTATTTGTAAACCACCCAGAGTCACTCAAAAATAATTCTTTATAAGGTTTATATATATATATATATATATATATATATATATATATATATATATATATACTTTTTAATTTTTTAAAATAATTTTTAATTTTGTGTATTTTATATTTTTTAGCTTTTAAACTGTTTTTCACCCTTATTATGCTGATCTATGACCAATAATAAATAATAAATAAATGTATTAATAAAATTAATAATAATACTGTAAAATAAATAAATGTATTAATAAATAAATAAACCCTTGTACACCTTTATAGTCATATAGGAGTGACTATCACAAAAGAATGTGTGTGTGAGAGAGATAGTGGTAAGGAGATACTTGGAGAGTGTTGGGTGTGACATTCAAAATATAAATTTGATAATATTCCTGCCCAGAGATTGTTGTTGGAACTAACTGTATATCGGACAAAAACAGGTAATTCAGTTCCAATGTTACCTCTTTAAATTAAAAACAATACAATACTCCAAAGAGGAGGGAAGTGGTAACAAAAGAAAGGGTACTAAATGCAAAATTTATGTTACCGGTACTTTCAGCCAGTTGTTTTCTGTTGGTCCAAGGGAGGAGGCATTGGCAAATCATTTCTGCCAAGAA